ACAAAACTGAGAACCCTTTGGCCAATGATGCTCCTGACCAAGCTTCAGACTGCATTTGGTTTAAATCCCTTCACTTGTATAGTAGGAGAGAAAAAATCCTCTACTTCCCCTATTTGGCCCCGCCCCTCTGCCCCCAAAGAGGCCACACCCTCCGTTTATACAAACTTGAGTCTCCTTTGTCCAAAGATGCTCTAGGACAAATTTGGTCAAAATCCTTCTATTGGTTGAGAAGAAGAAGATTTTTAAAGATTTACCTATTTTCCCCCTATTTGGCCCCGCCCCTCTGCCCCCAGGGGGGTTATACCCTCCGTTTATACAAAACTGAGAACCCTTTAGCCAATGATGCTCCTGACCAAATTTGGTCAAAATCCTCTGAGCCATTCAGGACAAGTAGCATTTTAAAGGAAAAAGTTGACAGACGCCGGACGCTGCACCATGGGATAAGCTCACTTGGCCCTTCGGGCCAGGTGAGCTAAAAATAGGGGGTAGGGGTAACTAAAATCTGCTTTTTCAGTTAAAACAATAAGATTAAGAAATGTTACTTCCATAATTTAGAAGAAAATAATATTTTCAACAATTCTACAAACATTTATACATTTCTGATAACACACTTGGAAGAAATTATATGAATTTGTTCTGCAAGTGGTCAAAACCCAAAAAATCACCTAAAATCACATGTTGTGGTAAATTGGTATCTTTGACCGATCATAGCACAAAAACGAGCACACGGGCATGTTTTTTTTTTGCATTTTCTACTAAGCCATTTACTCCTTTTTCCAAAAATCCATATAAGAAAAAAAGTTTAATACAGGAAATTTTTGACTTCTCAGAGGTGTACATCCTTAATTGATATAGATCTATTACGTCACTTGGTAATGTTAATTAACAAGTCATTCGGATTGAAAGGTAGAGTGCATCATTTTAAGCATGGACATACATTCACATGGTCACATTGACATATTTAGGGAAGACACTAAGCAAAAGCGGAACAGCTGACGGACGAGTAGAATAAACAGCACAATTGATTCCGTAAACGAAGGTATTCAACAATAATTACTCTGCTATATTGCGTGAAACAGCTTCCATCTCCGCGGACATTTCTTCCGTTTCACTTCCCGCCATATTGTTTGTATTCCAAAGGAGAGTTCATTGTTTCAAATTTTATGAAAGGTTTTACTAGCGTTATTTGTTTCAATTTTTAATGTATGTACTAATATAAAATTGTTATATTTTGTACACATCTTATTCGTGATATTATAGATCTGAATATATATCAATAAAAGATTTATATTATTCTAAATATAACAAAATATCCCCAGGTTCTTGGTTAAGTGAATGTTTGTTCGAAAGGAAAAATATTTATAATATTCAAGCTTTCAATCTACATCAATGTGTTTATTTTCTGAGACCTTTTTTCCACGTGGGAAGTGCTATTGAGGAAAGAAACACAAGTTGTTATGTTTTAATGATGTTGCAGGAGATTGATTTGAGTAAAATCCAGATGATTTTATGTATATTGACCGTTTTGTGACGAACATTTTCCTATTTAACTGTCCATAACCTCTTGCTGAGGAAAACAAACAATAACGCTTCAGATGGATTCCTCTACGAAAAGAATATTTGTTGGTGGTCTTTATAACAATATAACTGAGTCAGAACTTAGTGAAAGATTTTCAAAATTCGGCAATGTTGACAATATTGAAATCAAAACCAAGAAAAACAGCGATGGTAAGTTCATACTGTCAGAGTAAAGGGGTTCATTAATATTACAAATCATGTCTAGTACACATATGCTATACTGATATGGGTCACAGTGTAGGTGTGCTGTGGTTTGGTTTAGTGTTGTTTAACGTCCTATCAACAGATATGGTCATTTAAGGACGGCCTTATCTGTGTGCAAGATGCATGCGTGTGTTTTGGGAGGCTGCGATATGTTCGTGTTTGTCTGAACTGTTCTTCTTCTTTAGGTTATCAGTAGTCCTTCAATGATCTGAAGATTATTTACTGTTTTGCGTAGCGTGGGCTATATATATATATATTTACAAGGATACCAAAAATTATGAAAATGAATTTGGAATGCATACATTTTAAATTGTGATTAAAACTATGTACATAGGCTTGTAAAAATTAAATGAATTTGTGGAGAAACAGCTGGTGTGAGCTGTTCTCTGAAAGTGTCGACTGTTGTGACAGTGACTGTATGGATTGGTAATACATTCCATTGAGTTATGGTATAAGGAAAAAATAAAAAAAATTATATGCATCTTTTTTGGTTGAAATGTGTCTGAAAGTGAAATTATGATTTTTTCGGGTTCTACTGTCTGATGGTATGAGAATAGCAGATGGGATTGCTACAATTTGATGGACTACTTTGTAGAACATTATTAATCTTGTGCGTAGTATTCTTTCTTGTAGTGTTGGCCAGTTTAGTGAATTTATCATATCTGTAGGACTACTGATGTTATATGGTACCTGTTACAGACATATCTGGCAGCTCGTCACTGGACCATCTCGATTTTAGAAGTTTGTTCAACTGTGTGAGGGTCCCATACTGTACATGAATATTCCAGTTTTGGTCGAACTAGTCCCAGATATGCCTGAGTCTTGATGTTCTGACATGATGTTTTTAAATTTCTTTTTAATTAGGAAGCCTAAAGATTTGTTGCCATTAGCTATGCTGTTGTCTGTATGTTTTGACCATTTTAAGTTTGCTTGTAGTGTAATGCCCAGATATTTAGCTGAAGAGACCAGTTCAAGTTTGTGATTGTGGAGGATATAGTCATGTTTAAACTGTTTTTTCTTTTGTGAGACTGTAAGGACTGTGCATTTGTCTGGATGGAAAGCCATCAACCAGTCCTGCTCCCACCTAGCAGCTGCATCTAAATCCAACTGTAGTGCATCACAGTCACTTTGGGATTTGATGGTTTTGTAGATGATACTGTCATCGGCAAGCAGTCTGAGCTTACTGGATGATAAGTATTCTGGTAGATCATTAATGTATACCAAGAATAATACTGGGCCCAGAACTGTGCCTTGAGGAACACCTGAGGTGAAAGGAGCCAGGTCAGATGACTCTCCATCCAGGACAACTGTTTGTGTTCTGTTACTTAAGAAGGCAGAGACCCAGTTTAGTGTTTCGTTTCGGATACCGTTATAGTTTAATTTATAGAGCAATCTTTTATGAGGAACTTTGTCAGATGCTTTGGCAAAGTCCATTATAATTAAGTCTGTTTGTGTGTTGCTGTTATTATTTGCTGCGAGTTCTTGAATGAATGAGATGAGTTGCGTTTCACAGGATCTAGCTATAGACTGACGGAAGCCATGCTGGAGGTCATACAGTATATTGTTCTTTACAAGATTGTTTATGATGTGTTTGGTGATGATATGTTCCATAAGTTTACAAGAAATACATGTCAATGATATTGGGCTGTAGTTTTCTGGCTTGTATTTTTCCCCTTTTTTTAATACTGGTGCTACATTTGCATGTTTCCAATCTGTTGGTGTTATGCCAGTTTTAAGTGATGTTTTAAAGATTAGTGTAAGAATCGGAGCAGAATGTTTGATCTTTTGAGTTCTTTTAATACTCTGCCACTGATGTTATCTGGGCTACTTGCCTTATGTGGGTTTATGTTATGCAGTAGTTTCTTGACATCAGGTAATGATATTTCTAGTGGTGTTATCACAGGGCGTGAGCTTGGACCTTTGTCTGGGATGCTGTTATTTGATTCAGTTGTAAACACTGATTGGAACTGTGTGTTGAGAATGTCTGCCTTTTGTTTTGTGTCTGCTATAAACTGTCCTTCTTTTTTCAGAGGAGCGACACCTGTGTTATCTGTGTGCAGTGATTTTATAAAGGAAAATAGTTTTTTAGGTTTCGACTGATTGTTACTCTGATGCCGACTTTATAGTGCTACCTCACTGAAATATAATGCCGAAGACACCTAGCAGGACACCCCACCCGTTCAAATTATACTGACAACGGGCAAACCAGTCGTCCCTCTCCTAAATTGCTGAGCATTTAGAACAAGTAGAAACTACCATTTTTACAGACTAGCTGGTATGTCTCGGCCAGGGGACAGAGCCCAAAGCCTTCCTCACAGAGGTGAACGCTCAACTGAAGGCCAAAAGTGAGGCATTGTCAAAGGAGACATTAGGAAGAAGAAAGTTGTTCAGAAAGAAGAAAAAAGATAAGACCCAAATTTAATCGCCTCTTATGATCATGCAATGGGGGCAGCAGGTACAATTCTTACGCCCTACCAGCAGGGACAAGGTGTGCTGTGACCGTGACCCCTGTCAGTATAGCATATGTGTAAGAAACATTTGTAACGAAACCCTGTGGTCAGAGTATGTCAGGTCCGTATTCATATTTTGCCCTTACCAGCTGGCCAGGATTACCTGTCAAAGACACATTTTCAGTGTATTGTCTTTAGTCTGAATTTCCTCTTGCCCAGAAACCAGACTTAGACATTTTCATGATTTTGACAAGAGCCATCCTCAATACTCCAGGGTTCCACCCCTCACTTATGCTCTCTACTCCTGGAATATGTCTTAACAAAACCAATGGCACAGTGTGCACCACCTTGTGGATTAGACAAGATCTAGAAGACTATAGCTTTATCCTTTGATGTACTTCAAAGGAATCTTGCAGTAGCGTAATGGTAAAATCAACTGGCTTTTCAGTCGGGTGTCCCTCCTCTGTAATCTCCAAAGGGCATGTATCAGCTTTATTGATTGGTCAGGTTTTTTTTTTTTACCTGAGACCAATTAACTAGGTAGTTGTGTGCCTTCAATTTTGCTGTGACAATTCCAAAAGTGCAGAGAGCAAAAGTGAGCATAACTCCTGGAGTATCGTGGATGGGCCAGAGCTCACTACTAGATGAAAACATGGAATTTTAAGACACTGCTTGGTGTCGGAAAGTTTCGAGGCGCTGACAACAAAAATCTGCTATGACACAACACATACATCACATATATCGATAAATGGCTTGTTGAAATCAAATCAATGGCTTATTTATTTATCCAATAAAGTCTTTATTATCCCCAACAGCTGCTACATTCTATCATTAGAGTCCTCAGTGTTCAATCGTTCAATATTTCCCATCTGATCAATGCCATTTTGTGTGTCACAAATTACACAGGAATGACAAATCAACAAAAAGAGGCGGTCCAGATTTCTTCTAGATAGAAAAATGTTTCAGTTTCAGTCTGGATCAATACAGTTTGTTGATAAGTCACTCCGATGTATTTTGCATTAACCTACAAAATGGTGCGTCGTTCATATTGGAAATTTTGAACAGTTCATATAGCTAGTGGCTAGGAAAGTTACATTGGTACACAGGGAGGACCTACATGATTCCAAAGTCACAAGAATAATGTAACAGATGGCAAAATACTGCCTCACAGCTGACATCAAGTGTTGTTGTCTAACCTGGGGACGTAGATGTGCTCATGATCACTAGTTCAGCAACATCAAGCTAGGACATTGGCTGAATGAGTACCCGCCTGTATCTTATACATGTTATTGATTTGTGAAATAATAAATAATAATAATATACAGCATTTATATAGCGCCCTATATCATTTGTAAAATTACTCTAAGGCGCTTTACAACATGAATAATAGTAATGGTTATAATTGTGAAAACAAACAACAAAGGCTTGCAATCACTTTCATACATTTAACAAGCAATGTGCACATAATTGAACAAATAAAAGGGTGGTATTTACATGACATCTTTGCAAAGATTCTAAAATGCAGACGTTAAGAGGGGAGTTTTTATGTCCCTCTTGAACTTGGCCAGGGTATTTGACTTCCTAATATATAGCAGATGGTAAGCTATTCCACAACATAGCCGAAACCCTCCCAAAGCATCTGTTTCCGTAGGTCACAGTACGAGATTTTGGGACACACAACAAAGATTCTGACTCCGACCGCAGTGATCGTGACGGCTAATTCAGGGTAACAAGCTCCTGTAGGTACTGAGGAGCTGTTCCATTCAGTGCCTTGTATGTGTATACCAGAATTTTGTACTGCGACCTGTATCGTACAGGTAGCCAGTGCAACGAATAAAGCGCAGGAAGTGAAGAGACTGATAGCCAGTAATCATATATCATACTGTGGTTTTAATATTTAATAACATTATTTCTTATTCAGAAACTTTTGTAGTTTTTCTATAATTAAATATGCATCTGATATGATATTTATTTTCTTTTTTCCCCAGGAATTCCAGAGAATACATTTGCTTACCTTGATGTCAATACTACAGATGAAAACTTAAAAAAGTGTAAGGTTATTCCTTTCTTTCCAGGCCATGTACTGTAATTATACACTTATACCATCCTCGATTTTCCAGGGGTTAAGCTCACTTTCACTCTCAGCACCCCTGGAATGTGTCATAGCGAAATTGATGGGGCACGGCTAGCTATTTGATTGGTCTAGGGTAAAAAAAACCACCTGACCAATCGTCTGATACCTGGCCATTGAAGATTATAGACGAAAGACAACTGACTTCAAAGCCTATCTATTTTACCCTTACACGACCGACAAATTCTTTTGATGTTCAATTACATCAAAGGATCAAACTAGTCTTGTCTCACCCACAAGATTGTGCACCTTGAGCCTTCGACTTTGCTATCATGACATACTCCAAGGGTGTAGAGAGCGAAAATGAGCGTAACCTCTGAATTAGTCAGCATCATGTACAATCTAAATATAATGTGTAAGGGTGTCCTTTAATTAGGTCCTAGCTACCGTACATGTATCCACTGATTATATATATAATGTGTAAATGTGTCCTTTAATTAGGTCCTAGCTACCGTACAGGTATCCACTGATTATATATATAATGTGTAAATGGGTCCTTTAATTAGGTCCTAGCTACCGTACATGTATCCACTGATGATATATTAAGTGTAAATGTGTCCTTTAATTAGGTCCTACTGTACATGCATCCACTGATTATATATATAATGTGTAAATGTGTCCCTTAACTAGGTCCTACCGTACATGTATCCAATGATTATATATATAATTTATACGATGTGTTACAGGCTTCTCTGTACTGAACAGAAGTAGGTGGAAGGGCAAGGAACTGAAAATACAACATGCAAAGGCAGACTTTATGAAAAGGTTAGTGTGATATTAAACATAAGCAGGTTATATCCAAATCTAATGAAAATGTTAGTGTGATATTAAACATAAGCAGGTTATATCCAAATCTTATGGAAAGGTTAGTGTGATATTAAACATAAGCAGGTTATATCAAAATCTTATGGAAAGGTTAGTGTGATATTAAACATAAGTAGGTTATATCCAAATCTAATGGAAAGGTTAGTGTGATATTAAACCTAAGCAGGTTATATCCAAATCTAATGGAAAGGTTAGTGTGATATTAAACCTAAGCAGGTTATATCCAAATCTAATGGAAAGGTTAGTGTGATATTAAACATAAGCAGGTTATATCCAAATCTAATGGAAAGATCATTACGACCACAAATGTTTTAACCCGCCATCAGCAGATGATGGGCTGATCAAATCACTCTTTGTCCATGATCTGCCATCCCTCCGTCCATCTGTCTGTCTTTCAACAATTATTATTGCTATTTTTGTAGTATTTTGTCATGCAAATCGTCCATATCATTTTCAAAATGTTGACGAGTTTTCATTATTAAGAGATATAGTAGTTTTTAATGAGTCTTAAAGGAAGAGCATGAGTCCAGGGCTCAAATATCTGTGTCCCAAAACATCCCTGGTGATATCAAAGTGGAGCAGTTAATGTCTTACTATATAAAAAGGTTGGTATAAGATTAAACATGTAGGGGAGATATTGTTTCAGTGTGTACATTTTTATGTAACATCAATATGAGATTAATCATTAGTCATTAATGTCTTATAATGTAGATAAAAATATCCCAAAGTACTCATACTTGTTACCGTACTGATACTAGTAGATGTTATAATACTTATAGTAGTTCTCTCACAAGTAGAAGTTCTCTTACTTGTAACCAGACTGATACTAGTAGATGTAATAATACTTATAGTAGTTCTCTCTCAAGTAGAAGTTCTCTTACTTGTAACCAGACTGATACTAGTAGATGTAATAATACTTATAGTAGTTCTCTCTCAAGTAGAAGTTCTCGTACTTGTAACCAGACTGATACTAGTAGATGTAATTATACTTATAGTAGTTCTCACACAAGTAGAAGTTCTCGTACTTGTAGTGCATGTAACATGTTTTTCTAGAGGTTGATTCATTAATTCATACATATATCATAATTGTATTCTAGAGATCAGTTGTTTTCTGAACTCCTTTTAACTTGTTATCAGGTTAAAGGAAGAGAGAGAAAATAACTTTGAGAAGGCGGAAAAACCAAAAACCAAGAAAGTGGTATATCAGGATCCTCTGGAGGGGGTAGCTGGTGTGGACAACTTCCACATGAAAGGCGCCGTCCCTGGCACTCCAGTTGATGTAGAGGAAAAGGTAAGTCGCTGGTCGGTAGGAAGTTAAGATGGAATTGTGACCTTGAGGCAATGGTATTGTGACCTTTTGGTAAAAAGTGATTCTACTAGTATTCAAACCCAAATGCTCATTTAAATATTTTAGACAATTATTGATCATGTGAAAATATTGGTTAAATAAATCTTGGTATACAGTGTATGTGCAATACATATATATATGACGTGTATATGACAAATAATTGGTAACCATTGACCTAACCGGTAATTGAATAATTCCATATTTAGACTGATTTCCCTACAATAACATCAATCAGTACTATATAACCATTGAACCTTCATGTCATGTTTGTGTTCTGTATGAACTTGATCATTGTAATCTCTTGATCATTGTAATCTCTTGATCATTGTAATCTCTAGATTGATCTTTGATCATTGACAACTTGACTCTAGATCTATAGCCTGGTCTCATTTATACTTGCTTGACAACATGACCTATAGCCTGTTCTCATTTGTACTTTCTTGACAACATGACTCTATAGCCTGGTCTCATTTGTACTTGCTTGACAACATGACTATATAGCCTGGTCTCATTTGTACTAGCTTGACAACATGACTCTATAGCCTGGTCTCATTTGTACTTGCTTGACAACATGACTCTATAGCCTGGTCTCATTTGTACTTGTTTGACAACGTGACCTATAGCCTGGTCTCATTTGTACTTGACAAAGAGATCAGATGTGTTAGATATGTTGAAAAGTATTCATTCTGTGTTTTTGCAAAAATCAACTGTTTACAAACATGTCCTTCAAAAATGATGAACCTTGTTCAGATATTTTTGAAGTAGGATTATAATCACCAACTTACTCAAGCAACACTGATTCTACTTTAAATGTATATGTATTAAGCTTCTGTAATCGCGCTGCATACCTTTTGGTATCCATACTCAAAGCCAAGCGCCCCACTGATCAACCCACAAACCTATACCTGACCTTGGCTCCATCACCTTTAATTTTAATTTAAATATTGTAACATTTCCTTTCTAACCCTTAGCCTTTAACTATTTAACTTATATAACTAGTGCAGTCAAATGTTAAAAACATGTCTTTTTTCATCTTCAGAATTGGGTGGTTGGAAAATATGGCCGAGTGTTACCCATTGTCAACATTCGAAGACGAGACAAGAGGAAGATATCCTTTAAAAGAATAATGTATATATATATAGTCATAAGTAGGATGACGTGTACTTATCCATTGGGATATTGTGAGGGTTGGGGCAGGGGTCAGTGAAACTCACCCTACCTGTTCACTTTCCTTAGTACAGCAATATATCAATACAAGTACTAGGATATACTTGCTACAGAACTTTTAGAACAATGTACTTGTATATGTTCTTTTGTATTGGAAAATCTTTATTGATACAATGCTATCATGTTTGTCGAAATACAAGCTCCTGAGAGCTTATGTTTATTGTTCGACCCATTCGACGTTAAATAAAGCTTCTTGTATCTTGTATACCATTTTCAATATAACTGATTAATCATTTATAATCCTTAACAAAAGTACTTCATGACGGTTGACCCTTCAAAGTTTTGCCACAATTCTAAGAGGATAAAAGAGGATGACATGGAAAACTCAGATACAGGGGTCCAGAACCTGACATGGAAAATAGATACAAAGGACTCTGAGGTGATCAAACGCAGGAAAGGAGAATTCCCGGCATGGAAGCAGAAGAAAAAGAAACAAACAGCTGATGCAGACATGAAATTGCTTGCCAATTACTATGAATCTTTCACTAAAACTAATGCTGAGAATACATCTAATAATACTGACTTTGAGGTGGTTCCAAAAAGTTTCCTGAAAGTTCCCCAGAAGAGTAGTTACTTCAGTGAGGACAGTGATTCTAATGAGGACAGCACAGAGAACTGTAAAACAAGTACTCCATTTCCCAGTCCTTTACCCAAATTACAGCAAAAAGCAACAGTCAAAACAGGAAAGGACCACAGTGTTAAACAGAGAAATGACAGTACAGGAAAACAAACAATGCTGCCAGACCCAAAATGTACTCCTATAATGAAACCATTGGGTAAGGGACAAAAGGACATAGGTGATAAACCAGTGGGAAATGAAGATAATTCAAAGTCATTAAGTCCGTGTAAAAAAACAGTTACTCTGAAGAATACTTCAGTGAAGTCAGTAACGTCTAATATCTCTTCTGCTAGTTCCTCTCAGAAAACAGTGTCCAGGAAATCTGTGCCTGATCAAAATTCTACCAGTACTTCAAAAATGTCAAAAGTACTGGCTGAAGTAGAAGAGCAACTTCATGATCAGTCTTTAAAGCCAAAAGGAGGACAGGTTGAAAAGACTGATTTTTCAAACCCTTCTGTGAACAAGTCTTCTAACAAAAGGACAGACAGTTTCACTGAGGGGAAGAAAAGTTTAACAAAGAAACCTAAACTACAGGCCTTTGGTGGAACTAGAAATTTGTATGACAATCCGTCATCTGAGAGCCAACAGAAAGTGGAGTCTGCTGCACCAACTAGTACAGCCAGCCCTAGTTCAGTAAGTGCCCCAGCTGAACCTCACAAAGAGGCCATGTTGGGAGTGAAGAGAACACTTTTCCAAACCTCGATGTTGAAAACTGCACCGGAAAAGGAGAAAGAAGTGCAAGAGGATTCTGATGGAGAGTCTGTGTCGTCTACCGATACAGATGTAATCATTGCCTCGGCCAAGAAACAGCGGGGAGGGGGCACTGTGATGGGATATGGATCACTAGAAACACCTGTATCTCTCCAGGCCTCCCTCGCCGACAGTGTCTACAGCGAGTTTGGTGGAGGGCTGGTGGACGGAGAGGTATCGGGTCAAGCTAGCTGGATGGAAGTGCACGACAATTATGAGGCAAATGACAGTGATGATTCGGATGATTTTGAAAAGCTCGCTGTAAAAATATTAAAGAAAACTCAACAGACAAACCTTTTAGCTTCAAATAAAGGTTTTGAAAATAAAGATGGCAAGACTAAGGAAAAGATAGTGCAGAATTCTGAAATTGAAAATTCCAAAGATTCAGACTCGGACACTGAAAGTGATGATGAAAATACCGATACAAGTGATAGTGGTGACGACGATGAAAGTAGTAGTAGTGTTGATGATGTTGATGATACAGACCAAGAGGAGGAAGAGGACAGTGATGAAGAGGATAGCACTAGTAGTGACGAGGAAGATACAGGGGTAAATAAGGGTGTATTGAAAAATACAGAGATCAGCAAGGAGGTAAAGATCAGGAAGGGGAAGCAAGACCAACAGGAAGACAGTCACGCCGCAGGGGAGGACAAAGATAAGCGAGGAGCGCAAGAAAGAACAGAGAACTCTGCTTCCGACACCAAGGAAAATAAAGGAAAGACACAAGACAAGGTGGACCAAAAGAGGCTGGCTATTGAGGCGAACAGGAAGAAGCAGGAGTCACTACGGCTGAAACAGGTGGAATACAACGCCCGGAGGTCTATCATCAAACGCGCCCTGTCAGCAACGGTAGGTGCAGTCTAGGCCATCTAATTGGTGTCTAGTCAATGATTTCAGACCTGTATCTGAATTGATAAATTTTCTTTTGATAATGACAAAACCAGTATTTGACAAACCATAGCATAGATTATTGTTGTAATTGTTCAAAAACAGCTAACCCGAATTTCCTCTGGCCCAGACAGATTAGACCGTTTGGTATCGGGGAGTGACTAATCAACAAATGATGCTGTCCGGAAATCTTCTAAACAAAGAATAATATATGCCGTTTTCGGTCCGTATCCGTACGGTTTATTGTTGACCATGACCTACAAAAATGGCGTTCGCTCAGGTGGGATATTTTGAATGATTGAAAATCGAGGACTCTACTGGCGGAATATTTAGCAGCTGTTGGTGATAATAAGAGCTGATTTTGATCAATAAATAATCCATTTATCGATAAAGGTGAGGTATGTGTTGTGTCATAGTAGATTTTTGTTGTCAGCACCTCATAACTCTCCGATACCAAATAGTGTCGGGGAATTCCACGTTTTCATATAGCAGTGCGCTCTGACCCCACACCAGACATCTATCTGTCAAATGTCTAAGTCTGGTGTCGGGGCCAGAGGAAACTCGGGCTAAAAAACAGCATTGTTACAGATTGTAAATACTATAATTTGAATATGAAAACCGACATCAGTTGATATAAGTTCTTTGTAGGATTTACTACGGTGGAATGAAAGATTAAGTAAAATAGCTGTAAATTTTCCTTACAAATAAAGCGATCCAAATCTTTTGCTTTCGATACAATGTCGATCATCTTTGTAGGACAAATAAACACTAGTTTCAACATTTTAAATGTTTTAAATGTTAATTTAATCTGAAACAAACAGGACAACACAAAGAGGTCCAACAGGATTGTGTTTGACTCGGACGGTGATGACGATACTGCTCAGAAACCCGTCACTAAAACTACAGCTTCCCAACAACCTGACAAGAAACCCTGGGACCTAGAGGACAGTGATGAGGGAGATGATAGTGAAGATGACAGCAGCGAGGAGGAGGAGAGCGACGAGGAAAGTGATGAAAAACTCCAGTCTGTGGTAAAATATTGTTCTCAATCTGGCAATCTTTACTAGAGAGGTAGAGCAGACCAATAAATAATTCATGTAAACTTCATCATTTTAGCAGTAATTTGTTATTAGTGGTAGTCTTATTTGAATGCTTTTTGTTCTTTTAAAAAAAATGTTAAATGATTGTTACTGTTGAATATGAGAACTTTGTTATTTTGTGCTAATTCTTTATGTGAGTATTGTATAAAATAGCCAATGATGAGCAGAAATATGGATATGTTGATCCAGACAGTAATCGTTAATAACTGTGCTATTTCTACACATCGAGTCATAAGGTATAGGATGTCACTCTACAGTGTGAGATTGGGATACCTCAACCATAGGGTTTTGTCCAGGACTATGTACAAACAAGTATACAAGGTTTCATCAGCTGGTTTCATGATTATACAGGGGTCTATTCAGATAGGTTTCATAAAGAGGCATAGGTTTTGACAGGTCTCATGGATGTACAGTAGCCCAAATTTCCTCTGGCCCTGACACCAGACTTGACAGATGGATGTCTGGTAACCCACACCAGACATCTATATCTGTTAAAATGTCTGGTGTCAGAGCCAGAGAAAACTTGGGCTAGAAAATGTCTGGTGTCGGGGCCAGAGGAAACTTGGGCTAGAAAATGTCTGGTGTCGAGGCCAGAGGAAACTTGGGCTAGAAAATGTCTGGTGTTAGGGCCAGAGGAAACTTGGGCTAGAAAATGTCTGGTGTCAGGGCCAGAGGAAACTTGGGCTAGGATGTACAGGAGTCACTTTAAAAGACTAGACTAGAGGGGTCAGTTAAGATATATATAATGGTTATTCAGGTTTCATGGCTAGGTAGAGGTCAGTTAAGTTAGATTTTTTTGTGGTTGGTTCAGAAAGACAATTATGGATATACAGGGGTAATTTTAGACAAGTTGGTTTATAAGATATTGCAAAATGATAATAAATTGTTGATATGTTTTTACAGGGAGCTTCTGCAGCAGAGAAGAAGGAAAAGATGTCCCTGTTTGAGGAATCCTCAAGTGAAGACGACGACAGTGATGAGGATGCCTTCGAAAATAAACCCCAGTTTGAAGGAGAAGTGGGATCTAAGGTAAGATTAACATGTAACACTTACCTGAGCTTGAACATCACACCTAGTCTTGATAAAGTTTACTGTATTCATTGAATCGAATACCTAGTTTTGTTGACTGTATTCATTGTATCGAATACCTAGTTTTGTTGACTGTATTCATTGTATCGAATACCTAGTTTTAGGCACCCTGGACATTAAAGAAGTTGATGATTTTGAGGAAGGCTCTTAATAGGGACTAAGGTGGATGGTCGTATTTTTTTTCAGATTCTGTAAAATACCCATCTTTCAAGCATCTGAAATAGTTGTACACTGTTACAGTGGTTCAGCCAGGCAGGCATTGTTATTCTTTCCCGTGAAAATAAAGTTTATGTCGTGGAAAATGCTTGTTCCCTTTTTCCCTCTGATTTTAAAATCATCAAATGGTTTTCTCACCGTACTGAGAATACAAATGTTATTCCCATCTTGAATTACTTGATGTATTCATACGAGACGAATGTATGTCTTAATATTAATTAGCATTTTTAAGACATTGTATGCAGAAACAAAGATAAAGCATATTTGTCTGACATAATAGTGTCAGTTCATGGTTAGGAGCTCTCCTTGATTGGATGAACTGATAAAACTGAATGATGTCTCTTTTCGATTGTTTGTAGTTGACAAAGTTTTGTCAGGTTAGTTGTAGATTGAATGTGCTTGCTTTGAATGTTTTTAGTTGATGAAGCTGCAAATGAAATTCTCCAGTGACACCCGGTTCAAAATCGACAAGAGATTTGTGGAGAGTGACGAAGAGCAGGATGACGGAGGTAGTAAAATAAGATTACTGTACATATGTATGTAGGTCATGTGTAAAACATATGTATGTAGGTCATGTGTAAAACTGTATGTAGGTCAAGTGTAAAACGGCATGTACTGGTATGTAATGCAAGATACATTAATAGCGAAACCCTGGGGGACCTAACAAATTGAGTCTGATGCAAAAGTGAAATTGAAGATTATCTGCAATACGGTTCATCAGTTTGGAAATATGTAGTATTAAAACTTTATTTTAAACACAAACAATGTACGTATGAATACACGTCGCAACGTTTCAAGATTGACTGGTCTGTTTGTCGAGCTTTAACTGAGTGAGCGATTTGTATTGTTGTATATTTCATATGTCACTCGAGCCTATTGATAGAGATTGTATTCACACTGAATTGATCATCATCATTGGGTTTCCGGTCACTGTTTTACCTGTTCCTCCTTTTGATGTGTATTTTTGCTTTCTGTGTCCGCGTATAACTTGAGGATGCTCCAAGTGTTGTGCTGTCTTGGCAAATTTGCTGAACTTATTTGAAAGATATACTACAGTACATAAAGAAACATTATGCAGATCAAGTTATGGGTGGACTGTCAATATATCCCAATATGTCCATACTAAAGCATGGTTTACTGGGTACATGTACAGTAATAACAGTGATTATCTTATGTCAATATCAATTTGGAAAATTTAGAATTAATGATCAAGTCTGATTGCCACTTTTAAATGATGCTGTATATGTTTGAAATGCCTAATGTTGTTGGCTTCGCTGTACAGAGGGCAGTAACGAGGAGGTAGAAGATGAAAAGATGAGAAATCTGAAGGTACTACAAGAAGTGGTAGGAGTTCAAGTTGCCGTGGTAACTGACAAGAAAGACCGGTTGAAGAAACAATTCAAGTAAGATATTTGCTGAACATGAAACTGTTACATTTTTGTGGAAATGATCATGGTCTTGAACAATTTTCCGAATCCAATATGGCCTCACAGCTGCTGTCTTGAAATGTTTTTTAAAATAATTGAAAATTTAAAATAATCTCAAAAAGCATTGACACTTTTTGAAACGAGAGAATTTTTTATTCGGTCATGTGATCAAAATCTGTTAATTCTACCTTTGAATATAGTGCCACAGTATAGTAGTGTTTTATAATGACTGTTGGTTGTATGCCATTGTATTTTACTCCTGCAAGTGTTATACCTCCATACAAGGAGAGAAAAATGTGGTACTTCAGGATTGATATATAGACTTTGTATATTAACATTTATGAGTGTCAGGATTTGAAATTTAGTTAGCACCTTAACCATAATATACATTTTCATTCTGTCCATGTGATGTTCCAGGGATATATCAGCTTTGCAGTATGACCCTAGTAGGGAAGACCACAAAAACTTTGAAATCCAGCCAACCACAGATGCAGGTCAAAAGAAAAACATAGTAGAGTAAGTGTTCTTTAATAGTAGAAAATCAATAGTGACATGTTATGGTCACCTTTGACATGAGGATAGGTTGTATGGACTCAGAACCTGCTTAATGAAAAATGCATGAATAAGTATGAAATTTTTAATGACAAATTGTATAACAATGTCCTAATTGATATGATTACATAACTTGTGGGACCTTATTTTTTGGGACAATTGTATTATTTTTTATGAGTGCAAAAAGAAACACTTCATTACTTTGAAACACTGGATATCTGTGTGTACTATACTTCTTTATGCCTGTAGGTTTTACTAGGGAAAACTTTCATTCAGGATTTCAAGTTCATAGTAAATATGTAAGGAATTCATATAAGTTAATATTTTACTCCAGACACCTAAATTAAATCATAAATAAATATGTATTTTACTGGTGACATTTTTGTGTCATTCTAGTGTCTCTACCCAGTGTTATGGACAGTGGTTTATTTTCCTATCAGAGATAATTGTAAATAGTTATATCTGCAGTTATTGCTCATATAGTTATTTATCTATTAATGGTGAAACAATAAACGGAGTCAAGGTGGGGGTTGAATATAGACCCCATCATGAAAATGTTATCTCTCACAAAAATGTTTTTTTTTAAATTGATTCACAGTAAATATATAGCCTGTGTGAATAACCCAGAAATGTGTGGACAAGCTGCATCAGTATACTGTCCCATATAATGATCCTATCTGTGTTGTATAAAGAGGATCAGCTTTATTGTGCATTAAATTGTTCAAGTATACAATGCTTATTCCATAAGCAAACATTTTCTTGATTGACAGATATATATTCTTTACATCTGAATTAGCAAAAAGAATAAGTCAAAGAAACAGAAAGCTGAGGAGGGGGCCGAGACAGAGGAAGCCGAACCTTTACCTGTCGTCAGCGGTGAAAAGTTTTATGAAGTCAGTTCTGCACTAGATAATGCCTTTAAGACGTCTGATGACAATGACAGCAAAACAGAAACGGGGGAGTTTTCCCTGTTGGCTGCTTTTGGCAGGAAAGTAGAGGACCATGATGATGCTGAAGAAATACATGGTAAGTAAAGAAATACGTGGTAAGTAAAGAAATACATGGTAAGTAAAGTAATACATTGTAAGTAAAGAAATACATGGTAAATGGTAAGTAAAGAAATACATGGTAAGTAAAGAAATACATTGTAAGTAAAGAAATACGTAAGTAAAGTAATACATTGTAAGTAAAGAAATACATGGTAAGTAAAGAAATACATGGTGAGTAAAGAAATACTAGGTAAGTTAAGAAATACAGAAATACATGGTAAGTAAAGAAATACAGAAATACATAGTAAGTAAAGAAATACAGGGTAAGTAAAGAAATACATGGTAAGTTAAGAAATAAATGGTAAGTAAAGAAATACATGGTAAGTAAAGAAACACATGGTAAGTTAAGAAATACATGGTAAGTTAAGAAATACATGGTAAGGTAAGAAATACAGAAATACATGGTAAGTAAAGAGATACATGGTAAGCAAAAGAAATACAAAGTAAGTAAAGAAATACATGGTAAGTTAAGAATTACAGAAATACATGGTAAGTTAAGAAATACATGGTAAGCAAAAGAAATACATAGTAAGTAAAGAAATACATGGTAAGTAAAGAAACACATGGTAAGTTAAGAAATACATGGTAAGGTAAGAAATACAGAAATACATGGTAAGTAAAGAAATACATTGTAAGTAAAGAAATACAGAAATACATAGTAAGTAAAGAAATACATGGTAAGTTAAGAATTACAGAAATACATGGTAAGTTAAGAAATAAATGGTAAGTAAAGAAATACATGGTAGGTTAAGAAATACATGATAATAAGAAATACATGGTAAGTAAAGAAACACATGGTAAGTTAAGAAATACATGGTAAGGTAAGAAATACAGAAATACATGGTAAGTTAAGAAATACAGTAATACATGGTAAGTAAAGAAATACAGAAATACATAGTAAGTAAAGAAATACAGGGTAAGTAAAGAAATACAGACATACATGGTAAGTAAAGAAATACATTGTAAGTAAAGAAATACGTAAGTAAAGTAATACATTGTAAGTAAAGAAATACATGGTAAGTAAAGAAATGCATGGTGAGTAAAGAAATACTAGGTAAGTTAAGAAATACAGAAATACATGGTAAGTTAAGAAATAAATGGTAAGTAAAGAAATACATGGTAAGCAAAAGAAATACATAGTAAGTAAAGAAATACATAGTAGAGGACCATGATGATGCTGAAGAAATACATGGTAAGTAAAGAAACACATGGTAAGTTAAGAAATACATGGTAAGCAAAAGAAATACAAAGTAAGTAAAGAAATACATGGTAAGTTAAGAAATACATGGTAAGCAAAAGAAATACATAGTAAGTAAAGAAATACAGGGTAAGTAAAGAAATACATGGTAAGTTAAGAATTACAGAAATACATGGTAAGTTAAGAAATACAGTAATACATGGTAAGTAAAGAAATACAGAAATACATAGTAAGTAAAGAAATACAGGGTAAGTAAAGAAATACAGACATACATGGTAAGTAAAGAAATACATTGTAAGTAAAGAAATACGTAAGTAAAGTAATACATTGTAAGTAAAGAAATACAGAAATACATGGTAAGTAAAGAAATACATTGTAAGTAAAGAAATACATGGTAAGTTAAGAATTACAGAAATACATGGTAAGTTAAGAAATAAATGGTAAGTAAAGAAATACATGGTAGGTTAAGAAATACATGATAATAAGAAATACATGGTAAGTAAAGAAACACATGGTAAGTTAAGAAATACATGGTAAGCAAAAGAAATACAAAGTAAGTAAAGAAATACATGGTAAGTTAAGAATTACAGAAATACATGGTAAGTTAAGAAATACATGGTAAGGTAAGAAATACAGAAATACATGGTAAGTTAAGAAATAAATGGTAAGTAAAGAAATACATGGTAAGTAAAGAAATACATAGTAAGTAAATAAATACATGGTAAGTAAAGAAATACATTGTAAGTAAAGAAATACATGGTAAGTTAAGAAATACAGTAATACATGGTAAGTAAAGAAATACAGAAATACATAGTAAGTAAAGAAATACATGGTAAGTAAAAGAAATACATGGTAAGTAAAGAAATACATGGTAGGTTAAGAAATACATGATAAATTAAGAAATACAGATGCAGAACATGATTAAATCATATTCTTTGATGTGAACTTTTTGCTAATGTTATATGTCTCTTCACATGAACATGTATATAAATACATAACAGTGTTTTCAACCTCATAAATACAGCCACCACTTAACCTGTTATCCAACTATCCAGCCACCGCTAATGCCGTTGTCCAACTACCTTTTCTATACGGGGGCCTATTGTCTCACTATCTAGTGGTCATTTTAAGGAACAGATTGACCTTTTCTATACGGGGGCCCATTGTCTCACTATCTAGTGGTCGTTATAAGGAACAGATTGACCTTTTCTATACGGGGGCCCATTGTCTCACTATCTAGTGGTCGTTTTAAGGAACAGATTGACCTTTTCTATACGGGGGCCCATTGTCTCACTATCTAGTGGTCGTTTTAAGGAACAGATTGACCTTTTCTATACGGGGGCCCATTGTCTCACTATCTAGTGGTCGTTTTAAGGAACAGATTGACCTTTTCTATACGGGGGCCCATTGTCTCACTATCTAGTGGTCGTTTTAAGGAACAGATTGACCTTTTCTATACGGGGGCCCATTGTCTCACTATCTAGTGGTCGTTTTAAGGAACAGATTGACCTTTTCTATACGGGGGCCCATTGTCTCACTATCTAGTGGTCGTTTTAAGGAACAGATTGACCTTTTCTATACGGGGGCCCATTGTCTCACTATCTAGTGGTCGTTTTAAGGAACAGATTGACCTTTTCTATACGGGGGCCCATTGTCTCACTATCTAGTGGTCGTTTTAAGGAACAGATTGACCTTTTCTATACGGGGGCCCATTGTCTCACTATCTAGTGGTCGTTTTAAGGAACAGATTGACCTTTTCTATACGGGGGCCCATTGTCTCACTATCTAGTGGTCGTTTTAAGGAACAGATTGACCTTTTCTATACGGGGGCCCATTGTCTCACTATCTAGTGGTCGTTTTAAGGAACAGATTGACCTTTTCTATACGGGGGCCCATTGTCTCACTATCTAGTGGTCGTTATAAGGAACAGATTGACCTTTTCTATACGGGGGCCCATTGTCTCACTATCTAGTGGTCGTTATAAGGAACAGATTGACCTTTTCAATACGGGGCCCCACTGTCTCACTATCTAGTGGTCGTTTTAAGGAACAGATTGACCTTTTCAATAAAAGTAATTATTCCAGTAATCAAGCCATAACTAATTTCAAAATTCCTCTACCCAAAATGGAAACACACATATGTCTATATTCTTTTCTTTTCGTTTAAAATCAAAATCTACTGTAGTTGCCTCCCCTGTTAGTTGTCAGATTTCAAAATCCAATAAAATGCCCCCCCCCCCCCCCCTGCTGTAGTTGCCTCCCCTGATAGTTGTATGATTTCTGAATTCCATAAAATGCCCCTCCCCCCTCTACTGTAATTACCTTCCTTGATTATTGTCAGATTTCAAAACACTAAAAATAGGGCCCATCCCCCAACAATTAAAGTATAAAACTCTAGAACTCAACAAAAAAAAGCATATCAGCCTTATCTTCAAATTTTGCATAACATCTAACATAATGTTAGAATGATTTTTAATCTTTCAGATGAACCTACAGCACCCACTAATAAGTGGAAGGGATTAAATGTCCAAAACAGTAGTGACGAGGAAGACTTGAGTGATGGTAGCGACGAGGAGAAAGACACTGAAGGAGGAGGAGAGGGTTCCAAGTACGAGCTTCAAAAAGTCCACTGTAGAAGTGTTTAATAGTTTTGTACACTTAGGTGCTGCTGTGAATTCATTAAACTGATATTCTATTGTGATTGATATAATCTTTCCCAACCTTGGAGGTCAGACAGAAAAATCTTAACCGTCGGGGTAAGATTCTTAAATGTCTAGCCAGAGGCTTTGTCGAGAGCCAGACTTTTAACAATCTTACCCCGAGGGTTGAGATTTTCTCTCTTACTCTGTGTGGATTAATTTTTTTTCTACCAAAATTATTTTATTTAATATAAGTGGTAATTTCATGAAATGCAAGCATAGCTTTCATAATTTCCAGCAGATTTATCTTCCATGATCTACTATTGTTGACGTGGCGTCATACAGTTGTTATAACAGGGTATCCCCGTCTTTACCCTAGGGTAAGACAGAGATATCTTTCCCTGACCAGAAGTGTTGATATCTCTGTCTGATGGTAGAGAATTGGTAGTACTGATATACTTTATCAAGGTAAAAGCATGTTGGTCTCCTATGTAAAATGTATAGTAGATTTAGTGTAAAAGCATGTTGTTTCTGAGATGACATGGTTAATACAAAGTTGAATTATTTACTATATTCTTAACTTATTCATCTACTTGAATGTTGTTTTGTGATACTTGTAGGCAAGAGGAGAAATCTGTGTCTGTTACAAAAAACAAAAACGATTTTTTCTTTACGGAAGACGACGAGCGAATCAAAGGTAGGTATACTGTTTGTATTGGTTGGAATAAGTCCACCAAGTTTCAGAATAGATACCACTAGTAATATCATTTCATATAATTTCCTGGGTGGGTTACAAATGAAAAAGAAACATGCTTTAACAGCTTTTGATGCAATGTTTTATAACCATTAAATTGTTGAGTTGTGCTATATGCCCAAAAACATATCATAGGTGAAAATATAATATTATTAAACTTTAGAAATAATCCAGAAAGACTAAATTAATCATATTTTTGAAGAAAGAAAAATCACAAAGTTTGTAATTGGGACAAAATTGTGTTAAATTGTCAACTTTATGTTTATCAGAGGGGATAGCAAGCTTTTGTAGACAGGAGGATATAGAGGAGATCCGCGAACATTGGCAGGAACGGAGACCTGACCTCATCAAGGTCAGTACACAATAATCTTGTTTACTTTGTTCTTTCTATTTTCACTCCATTTTCTGTCTTAGCATAAAACTGCTTGTCATACTGAGTAAATAACAAAGTGCATGCTGGTATTTGGGAATTACCAATACCATTATAACAAATACCAAATTCTCATTTTCCTGGTTTTTTCTGAGTCATAACTTTAAAACAGTTTCATACATCTCTCTAAAACTTTGTACACATGTCTGAAACAGTGCCAAAGTTCTGCTTTTGATATTTTGGATACCCCCCCCCCCTGTTTTCATGGGAACATACAGCTAAAATTACAAATTCTCAGTTTTTTCTGATGATACACATAACTCTAAAACCATTTCACGTATCGGTACGAAACTTGGCTGCCCTATATTACTTGGCTAAGCCTCTGTATGGCTGCCTTCATTGCCCTGTTTGTCACTGCTAGCCCTTTGAACATTCTCTTTACTGATCAATGTTGCCTGTCTGTTCATGATGTTTCTCCTTTTGTTTTAATGTATCCTCATTTCGTGTTTTCTTTTCATATCAACTTAAGTTTATTACCAATTTTGTCCTCGAGTTGATGTGGTGGTATACATGTTTCTGCTTTAATGCATATTGTGAATCATTTGTATTTTTGGAGATATACACTTCTTTTTGTGATATACTGTAGTTACATTTTCAAAGAAGGTTGTTACCAAATTAAAATATAGAAAATACGTTAATACAGTCATAAGAAGTGTGTATATATTGTTAATTTTGAGAACCACGTTCTACTGGATGAGTCATTTGAATCACACAGAAAGAAGTACTCACTAAAATTAAAACATTTGCAGTATATGAGATGCCATGACAGTGTGTTTTTGTTGTACTGTAGGCCTACCATGCTAAACACAAGAGAGCTGTGAGGAATAAACGAGCACTAGAGAAGAAAAAGATGACGGCGAAACGACAATAAGGATGTTATCTGTTCTCACGATGTAAATCTATTTTATTCAAGAATACACTCAATGATTTTGAAGATTAGGATATTTATATTATTCTATTACTGTAATGGATAATTTTGTACAACTAATTGTTTTTGTCGTACTTATTCAGCTACTAATGATGCTCATGTGCTGATGATGAAGGAAGGGATTCGTATCATTTGTACAAGAGAAAGAAAGAATGAATAAATTCATATTTAAGAAGCAAAACAATTGTTTTCCATTGTCATTTGATCAAAGTCACACAAAAGAATGTGTCACTAGCTGTGAGACAATGTACTTCCCTTTATCGGTAACGAAATAAACCTGCTACTGTCCACATTTAAGTACAAGCCAGTCTGTTTCCTGTTGATGATGATGAACTGTACACGGCTGAAAGAGACTTTCCTGGTCCTTCAAGTTTGCATTCACATCTATTGATGGTGTTCCTCCTCATATAGAAGAAGGCCAGAACTATCTGCATGTTATCAGGACTTCAAATGTATGTTACTACTTGTGTTAATTTATGACGCTTTAACAAATCTTATACTTCTGACCGTGAAGAGTAATTTGTTACAGTATAGGATACCTTATATTAAGTTCTGACCTTGAAGTGTCGCTTGCACGACATTATGATGGTGAAGAGTACCTAGCACTAATTTATGACAGTGAAGAACTCCTTGCTCTAATTATGACGGTAAAGAGTACCTTGCACTAATTCATGATGGTTAAGAGTACCTTGCACTAATTTATGATGAAGAGAGCCTAGCACTAATTTAGGACGGTGAAGAGTACCTTGCTATAATTTGTGACGGTGAAGAGTACCTAGCACTAATTTATGACGATGAAGAGTACCTAGCACTAATTTATGACGGTGAAGAGTACCTAGCACTAATTTATGACGGTGAAGAGTACCTAGCACTAATTAATGATGGTGAAGAGTACCTTGCACTAATTAATGATGGCTAAGAGTACCTTGCACTAATTTATAATAATAATAATAATAATAATATACAGCATTTATATAGCGCCCTATATAATTTGTAAAATTACTCTAAGGCGCTTTACAACATATGGATAATAGTAATGGTTATAATTGTGAAAACAAACAACAAAGGCTTGCAATCACTTTCATACATTTAACAAGCAATGTGCACATAATTGAACAAATAAAAGGGTGGTATTTACATGACGTCTTTGCAAAGATTCTAAAATGCAGACGTGAAGAGGTGAGTTTTTATGTCCCTCTTGAACTTGGCCAGGGTATTCGACTTCCTAATAGCAGATGGTAAGCTATTCCACAACGTAGCCGAAACCCTCCCAAAGCATCTGTTTCCGTAGGTCACAGTACGAGATTTTGGGACACACAACAAAGATTCTGACTCCGACCGCAGTGATCTTGACGGCTGATACAGGGTAACAAGTTCCTGTAGGTACTGAGGAGCTGTTCCATTCAGTGCCTTGTATGTGTATACCAGAATTTTGTACTGCGACCTGTATCGTACAGGTAACCAGTGCAACGAATAAAGCGCAGGTGTGATGTGCTCTCTCTTTCGAGTACGAGTAACTAGCCGTGCTGCAGTGTTCTGAACCCTCTGCAGACGACTAGTTAGTTTGTCAGATATACCACAGAGCAGGGCGTTACCATAATCCAACCGAGAGGTAACAAGTGAATGCACCAAAATCTTGCATGCATCTGCAGTTAGAAACTGCCGAATACAGCCGATGTTCCTGATCTGGTAGTAACAGGATTTGGCAATAGCGTTCACTTGTTTCTCCATGTTCAGAGAACTGTCAAAGTATACCCCTAGGTTTTTAACAGCTGGAACAGTCTCAATAGTTCTGGCACCAACCTTGAGCTGGAGAGCCATTGTTTGCTGACACTTTGGGGAAAAGACGATTAGTTCCGTCTTTTCCTGATTAAGTTTAAGCATGTTGGCGTTCATCCAGATACTGATATCTGTCAGACAAGCTTCCAGACTTTCTGAGACTGTATTCCAACTGTCCTGTGGTTTTATGACCATGTAAATTTGTGTGTCATCAGCATAGCAATGATAGCGAAGGCTATGGCGACGACAAATCTCTCCAATCGGTTTGGAGTACATACAATATTTTCGTGGTCCTAACACCGACCCTTGAGGAACCCCGAAATCTAGTACTTTGTCATGTGAGGTGGCAGATCCGATGGCAACACACTGTCGTCGTTCACTCAGGTATGACTGTATCCAGCATAGTGCGGTATCAGTCACTCCATAAGAGTATTCCAGACGTTTATAAAGTATGCCATGGTCGATGACGTCAAATGCAGCTGACAAGTCCAGCATGACAAGCACCGCTCTGCACTTGTTATCCAATGCAGAAGCTATATCACTATGTACACGTAGGAGGGCCGTCTCAGTAGAGTGTCCCATGCGGTAGGCCGATTGCATGTTGTCATGGAGACTGTTTGCATGGAGATGAACCTCTAAACGCCGGGACACAACCTTCTCCAAGATCTTAGACAGAAAAGGCAGATTTGAAACTGGGCGGTAGTTTTTCAACTCCTCCTTGTCCATTCCAGGCTTTTTTAACAATGGTCTGACATGTGCCTTCTTGAAACATAATGGAACCTTTGACTCAACCAATGATTTATTCATGATTGCGGTAATCAAAGGAAGCAGTGCTTCAAGACATTGCTTTAATAGGTCTGTAGGCAGTGGATCAAGCTCACAGGACTTCGATTGCGAGGTCATGATAATGTTGCGCAACTCGTCCTGGGTTGTTGGTGAGAGCTTTGTCAATGGTTCCCCATCAAATGCAATGTCAGCAGTCATGACAGAGATGTCAATGTCAGCAGAGGTGTTCACTTCGGTAATATTTTTCCTGATTGAGCTGATTTTATTCAGAAAGTAATCACTGAACTTGCTTGCTAAGTCTTTTTCAGAATTACAGCTTGGTAGGATAATTTCACCTTTCTGTCCCATTAGGTTTTTGGTGAGTCTAAAAAGTTGTCTTTTATCCTTGCCACATCCTTCGATTTTTTCCGAATAATAACCCTTCTTTGACTGAAAGAGAAGTGAACCAACTAGCCGACATTGCTCTCTATAAATCAGTTTGTGAACGGTTAATTTGGTTCGTCGCCACTGTCTCTCTGCTTGTCTACGTTTCTGTTTTTCCACGCGGAGATTTTCATTATACCACGGGGCATTTGGTCTCACAGTTATCACCTTAGTTTGCAGAGGTGCGTGTTTCTCTATAAGGGCTTCTATACCAAACGAATTAACGACTATGAAGAGTACCTTGCACTAATTTACGACGGTAAAGAGTACCTTGCAATAATTAATGACGGTAAAGAGTACCTTGCACTAATTTACGACGGTAAAGAGTACCTTGCACTAATTTATGACGATGAAGAGTACCTTGCACTAATTTATGACGATGAAGAGTACCTAGTATTAATTTATGACGAAGAAGAGTACCTTGCACTTATTCATGACGGTAAAGAGTACCTTGAACTAATACATGACGGTTAAGAGTACCTTGAACTAATTCATGACGATGAAAAGTACCTTGAACTAATTCATGACGATGAAGAGTACCTTGAACTAATTCATGACGATGAAGAGTTCCTTGAACTAATTCATGACGATGAAGAGTACCTTGCACTTATTCATGACGGTAAAGAGTACCTTGAACTAATACATGACGGTTAAGAGTACCTTGAACTAATTCATGACGATGAAGAGTACCTAGAACTAATTCATGACGATGAAAAGTACCTTGAACTAATTCATGACGATGAAGAGTACCTTGAACTAATTCATGACGATGAATAGTACCTTGAACTAATTTATGACGGTAAAGAGTACATTGCACTTATTCATGACGGTAAAGAGTACCTTGAACTAATTCATGACGATGAAGAGTACCTAACACTAATTCATGACTGTAAAGAGTACTTTGCATTCAATTGACTGTATAAAGTTGGTAAATGTATTGTAATATTATCAGTACATTTACAGTTCCCTTATTTCAAGTAATACAAACAATGATGAACTATAGAAACAATATAGTTTATTAAGTATCTATATCAACATCTGTATACATGTACGTGTAATAGTACATGTATGATGTGTATAGCAAAGTAGGTTAACATCTAAAATAGACTTTCATCACAATCACAATAGTTTACCTAAACATGTCACACATATAAAATATCAATTCACGCTACTTATAATGGCGATGTTACAGTTAATTTGATTGGACCGCTGAATACTCAATCATGTTTTATCTAGAATGGTTGGTTAATATACGTCTGTTCTTTGTCAGGCGTCTTGTCCTGGTAGGTCCAGTTCCAGTGTGTCTGTTCGCTGATACTAGGAGCTCTTTGTGGAGGCGCGTTGGCGTTGTACTGGCTATACTGACGCTGAAATGTGGGCTGTGGAATGGCGGGCAGAGCTCTGTCGTCTGAGATACTGGACAAACGCGTCGACCGACTGTCCCTAATTTGGACGGGTGGTTTGGAAGGAATCTCCTCGTAAATTTCATTGTAGGCTTTCTCTTGTTGTTGTCGTTTTCTTTAAAATAATGTTGATAATGGATATTTTTGTGATTCAGTTTGAATTGGTGGTATGCGGAAACAAAGCTGTATGCCAAATTGAAATCTTTTTGACTTTATAAATACAAGTTAAATGGACATTTCATTACAAAATTATATATATATTAATTTGTTGTATACATCATCTTTTACGTTACAAAATGGATTTTTCATCGATTGCAATGATCGACCGACAAACATTTGAAAATATTTTGAGATAAGAGATTAAAGGGGGTTCCCGTTGATTTTGGAATGCTAAATTATTTTTCCAAAGATTCAGAAATGTTCAGAAAAATTCCGGAATAATAACAGCTTTCACACTTAACACCATATATATGTTAGTTTTATAGTAAATATTGAAGTTTATGTCTATATTGACTACCCATGTCGAGGCTTATGTAAAGCCTGTACAACGATTTAGCTCCCCTTGCCAGAGACCTAGGTGATATGTATAATATGTATATATCATTACTAAACGGTGTGCCATACAGTAGTAACGGATACTCTCTCAACGTCAAGGTAATACCGGAAATCAACGGGAACCCATCGCGGAAGAGAAATACTGTCATGCGTTGTGTTTTTCTTGCATAAAACATTGGGAGATAGAGGGGAAACCACTAACTAATGCTTCAGAACATAATATACAACAACATGATCACAGTGAAAATACTCACCTCTCATAACGTAATATACAACAACATGATCACCGTGAAAATACTCACCTCCGTAATACAATTGTAAAGATCGAAAAGTACTCGCCTCTCATAACGTAATATACATCATTGCAATGATGAAGGAAATATTCAAAGTTCTGATATAATATGCTCAGACGAGCTGAAAAGCTCAGCGAAATAAAAGAATTTCAAATAAACTGGGGATGAATTTGAAAGAATAATTGAATTAATGGTTAACCAAGTAATTGTTGAGGGTTTTTTTCAAGTTTATCTGACTAATGTTAGGACCCAATCGCAGCAAACTATGTCCCTTTCTTGGCTAACTTGTTTTGTTGTTTTCCTATCCTATCGGGCTACATTTATCGAAGACCTTATCAGGACATGTAATTAAGACCTTGTTAAGTCCTTCACAAATTGTCTTTGACAGTATATTTTGAGCTTGAAATTAACGCCATGTTCTCCATAACGATCTCATTGAAAAATATCGACGTTATTTAATATGCGTATACTACCCCGGTTCGCTCTTTAAGAGCGTGACATTACTTCCATTTGTCCGAGCTTTACATAGCAGGTGTCGTCGATGAATACCTGGGTTTACTTTTATAAAGGCCTCTATGTAAATATGTCCGCTATCCATAGTATGCCATGGATTCGGCGATTTTGAGTTCAAATTAATGTTTTATTAACATTTCGATATTCTCAAATTTTCTTTATTCATCCATATGGTGATAGGAAATATTGAACTTAGTCATGTATTAACATTGTGAAAATAAAAAGTCTATTTATTTAACATTTAAATTCAGTAATGGGAAGATATACGGGGGGAGGCATGGTATTGTCGCGAAATATCTCACCTAAGTTACATAACGGTGTGGGGATGGGAGGATAACATAGTACACAACAGTGTAAAGCACGAGCTAGTACTCACTTTCGTAACAAAATATACAACAATGTGATGACCGTAGAATAGATTATCAAAACTGACATAACGGTGGTCATCGCAATAGTCCCGACACCTGAAAACAACAAATGTATATGGCGGTACATAAACGTCATTCGATTCATTTACATTTTTCATATGTAATGTTAATGTAAACTCATTTAAGTGAATCATAGTTTAGTTACAAATTAGGTGCTTCTGCCATTTCAAATGATACGGATATAGAATTTTTGAATCTAATGTACGGCATCTTGTCTAAGATTGGGACAAATACAACCCGTTTATAAGGCTCCCTTGGCCAACACCGTATGTCATGCAGCTTATACATTTACGTGTAACAGGTGCTGTCATATTGGAGTTACTTTTCGTCTTAAATCAACAAAATAGACTTTTTAAAAAATTCCTCTTAATTTTTGGTTTGATAATAAGAAAGGATGTTCTACCTAACCATCGAGAATACAACTGTGGGTCTAATCTAACTGTTAGGACTGAAGATAAACAGAACATCTAACTGTTAGGACTGAGGATAAACAGAACATCTAACCGTTAGGACTGAGGATAAACAGAACATATAATCGGTAGGACTGAGGATAAAAAGAACATCTAACCGTTATGACTGAGGATAAACAGAACATATAATCGTTAGGACTGAGGATAAACAGAACATCTAATCGTTAGCACTGAGGATAAAAAGAACATCTAACTGTTAGGATTGGGGATAAGCAGAACATCTAACTGTTAGGATTGAGGATAAACAGAACATCTAACCGTTAGCACTGAGGATGAACAGAACATCTAACCGTTAGGACTGAGGATAAACAGAACATATAATCGGTAGGACTGAGGATAAACGTATTATCTAACCGTTAGGTTTGAGGATAAACATAATATCTAACCGTTAGGACTGAGGATAAACAGAACATCTAATCGTTAGCACTGAGGATAAAAAGAACATCTAACTGTTAGGATTGAGGATAAGCAGAACATCTAACTGTTAGGATTGAGGATAAACAGAACATCTAACCGTTAGCACTGAGGATGAACAGAACATCTAACCGTAAGGACTGAGGATAAACAGAACATATAATCGGTAGGACTGAGGATAAACGTATTATCTAACCGTTAGGTTTGAGGATAAACATAATATCTAACCGTTAGGACTGAGGATAAACAGAACATCTAATCGTTAGGACTGAGGATAAACAGAACATATAACCGTTAGGACAGTGGATAAACAGAACATCTAACTGTTAGGACTGAGGATAAACAGAACATCTAACCGTTAGCACTGAGGATGAACAGAACATATAACTGTTAGGACTGAGGATAAACAGAACATCGAACTGTTAGGACTGAGGATGAACAGAACATCTAACTGTTAGGACTGAGGATAAACAGAACATCGAACTGTTAGGACTGAGGATAAACAGAACATCTAATCGTTAGCACTGAGGATAAACAGAACATATAATCGTTAGCACTGAGGATGAACAGGACATATAATCGTTAGGACTGAGGATAAACAAAACATCTAATCGTTAGGACTGAGGATAAACAGAACATCTAACTGTTAGGACTGAGGATAAACAGAACATCTTACTGTTAGGACTGATGATAAGCAGAACATCTAACCGTTAGGACTGAGGATAAACATAACATCGAACTGTTATGACTGAGGATAAACAGAACATCTAACTGTTAGGACTGAGGATAAACAGAACATCTAACTGTTAGGACTGAGGATAAACAGAACATCTAACTGTTAGGACTGAGGATAAACAGAACATCTAACTGTTAGGACTGAGGATAAACAGAACATCTAACTGTTAGGACTGAGGATAAACAGAACATCTAACTGTTAGGACTGAGGATAAACAGAACATCTAACTGTTAGGACTGAGGATAAACAGAACATCTAACTGTTAGGACTGAGGATAAACAGAACATCTAACTGTTAGGACTGAGGATAAACAGAACATCTAACCGTTAGGACTGAGGATAAACAGAACATCGAACTGTTAGGACTGAGGATAAACAGAACATATAATCGTTAGGACTGGGGATAAACAGAACATATAACTGTTAGGACTGAGGATAAACAGAAAATCTTATCGTTAGGACTGAGGATAAACAGAACACTGTTAGGACCTAGGATAAACAGAACATCTAACTGTTAGGACTGAGCATGTGCGGTAATGCTTAAGAATCAGTTCTGATGATGCGATCAGGTTTGTACAAATTAATTTATACATTGGTAGACGTGTTGACGGATGTGTTACCTTTCCGAAACACATGGTCTTCATTTCCTTCTAATTGTACAAAGGTATTTATACACTAGTTTTATCGATTTTGAGTGTTAGTTTTTGTTCTGTTCGCAGTAAGGAGCTTTTTTGTTTTTGGCCATCCATTCTTCTTTAAGATCCATTTTTGTACACATATCATCTATAAGTATTGCTTATAATTTCAATAAAAATACTTCTTTGGCTATGATAAAAATCTGATTCCCCAGATGGTAGGTATGGCATAATCCTTACCGTCTCATATATGTTCTTTGACATAGGTTGCTTGACATCTTGCGTAATGAATATATACGCAGTAGCTATATTCACATGAACCTGATCAAAATGTTTGACGTTACTTCGGTCTATCACTTAAATCATGTCGCGACTGGTACCTGTCAATGTTGGTAATTATCCCGTGTCTAAAACCTAAACCCGAGACGATTGTTTCCCGTACCTACAGCCCATACCTGTCAATGTTGGTAATGATTCCGTGACTAAAACCTCGACCCGAGACTATTGGTTTCCGTACCTACAACCCATACCTGTCAATGTTGGTAATGATTCAGTGTCTAAAACCTCGACCCGAGACGATTGGTTCCCGGTTTGATCCTGGTCCGTTGTGGTGAAGGCTTGGCTTGTTGTTATGGCGATGGTTGTAGTTGTTTTGGCAGCTTCACAAACTAAAGACATCGATGCAGCTTTTCCTTCTGGAATTCATTGACAAAGAGACATAACTTCAATGACATATTTGCGTTTGGCAGTTCTTCTTCATCATTTTTTCATTTAATATAACACATAGAGCATATTATTTTATCAACCAATTCCCTGATGGGAATATTGATGTCTTGAGCTTATTATTTTGGTTAAACAACAGTTTTATCACGGGGAAGAATTGTTTATCATGTGGAAGGAGGTGGATGAAGGAGGGAATCCAGGCTTACCTATATCCAGGCGATAACAGTAGGACGTATCGTACGGCTCGTGTACTCGTTTCAGAGAGATGGTGAGTGTGTTTCCAGGCGACAGACCAGGAAAGGTGGTGGACCCCAGGCAGGATATGACCTGTTTTTCTCCCCGGGGTAGGTACCGTTGTATATGTATCTCGGAACCACACCCCACGTAGTTAGGGACGGAGACGGGGTTAAAAGACACTTTGTTGCCCTGGTAGATGAGGACGGTACAATCACACTCGTCCACTGGGATATTCCGTGCTGGGTAAAAGTCCAGTAGTATACTGGAGGCGGTCAGACTTCTCGTCTTGCAGATTTCCATAGCTGTAAATACACATACACAGGGCAGCATTCACGATACGACGTAAAACAAAAACAAGAAAACTGTCAACCACAGCTCCAGCATCACTTGTTGCTCTTTGAGAAGCAGAAAAAACACGTCATATTTCGCATGTACGGCGAGCAATCGTAAATCTTTTTTTCGTTCAGTCCGAGAATGAAATATAATCGCTTGTTAAAACTGTATTTTAAATGGCAGCTGAAGAGACAGACAATACTTGTTTAAACAAACACATACAATAATAAAACGACAATATTGTTTTTATCACAAACTCTATGGCTTCTCATAATGTACATTGGGGAAAAGTATGCTGCACGAAGGAAATGTGTTTGAAGCATAAGACATTTGAAATATTCAAATACTTCGTAATCCTTAACTTCGCCTGTTAATGCTGCTCTCCTCTCAAAAAGTATATTGTGCTAAATTAATTAGTTGTTTAGTTCAAATTTCTTCATAAGGGAAAAACGGAAATGAAAATATCACAAGTGAAACATCTGAAATATCTGAACCCCGCTGATGGCGCTTGTAATGATTTTTAGTTCGGGAGACGACGCAGAAAAAAAACCCAAGAATGGTGGAGTGGAACGGGAAGATCAGAGGTCATCAGAACTGTGATGGAAATCCTATACTTACATTGTATATACTTATATTGTATATACGTACATTGTATATACTTATATTGTATGTACTTACATTGTATATGCTTACATTGTATATACTTTTATTATATATACTTACATTGTATATACTTATATTGTATATACTTATATTGTATGTACTTATATTGTATGAACTTACATTGTATATACTTACATTGTATATACTTATATTATATATACTTACATTGTATATACTTATATTGTATATACTTATATTGTATATACTTA